TGATCTATTGATTTAATATAACTACTCAATCCACTACATGTGTGGAGAATTAGATGATCTATTGATTTAATATAACTACTCAATCCACTACATGTGTGGAGAATTAGATGATCTATTGATTTAATATAACTACTCAACCCAATACATATGTGGGGAATTAGATTATTCTAATATAACTACTCAATCCACTACATGTGTGGAGAATTAGATGATCTATTGATTTAATATAACTACTCAATCCACTACATGTGTGGAGAATTAGATGATCTATTCATTTTTTCCTTCTTTTATTGTTTATGGATTTGTTGAACTCACTGATGCATCCAATGTATATCGTATTTTTAAAAATCTCTGTAAATGTGATTAGTTAATGGTACGTTCGTTGATTTAAGTCCTTATTAATGTGGGCTGATAATTTATAGATTACTTGTTTCTTTTAGTAATCTTGTAAATGTAGAAATCTAAAACATAGGTCCATTGCTTCTTTCGTGTGTTTTCCTGTATGTATGGTGAATACAACCAGTTCTTCTCTTAATTGTTATTCCTATAAACGTGGCGAACAAAATTATAAAACCCTGTTTCTTTTGGTTTACATTTGGTAAAGTAATTACTACATTCGTTAACAAATCAATCGTAAAAGGCATTATTTCTCTTGTCTAATTTTGTTTTTTAATCTGACGTAGTAATTGATGCATTCTTTGTTTGTTTTATTTTGTATTATTATGAAGTAGCGAACTAAATGCGTTGCGTCATTTGATTTACACATACCTACAAATGTAGTAAGTTAACTGTTATTAAGTTTTATTCATATAATTATGGATGTAGTGAACTAAATGTAGTAAGTTAACTGTTATTAAGTTTTATTCATATAATTACGGATGTAGTGAACTAAATGTAGTAAGTTAACTGTTATTAAGTTTTATTCATATAATTATGGATGTAGTGAACTAGATGTAGTAAGTTAACTGTTATTAAGTTTTATTCATATAATTATGGATGTAGTGAACTAAATGTAGTAAGTTAACTGTTATTAAGTTTTATTCATATAATTATGGATGTAGTGAACTAAATGTAGTAAGTTAACTGTTATTAAAATTTATTCATATAATTATGGATGTAGTGAACTAAATGTAGTAAGTTAACTGTTATTAAGTTTTATTCATATAATTATGGATGTAGTGAACTAAATGTAGTAAGTTAACTGTTATTAAGGTTTATTCATATAATTATGGATGTAGTGAACTAAATGTAGTAAGTTAACTGTTATTAAGGTTTATTCATATAATTATGGATGTAGTGAACTAAATGTAGTAAGTTAACTGTTATTAAGGTTTATTCATATAATTATGGATGTAGTGAACTAAATAGTACACTTATTATGTCCCTTTGTATTTGTATACATGTGGTAAATTGATACATGCATTGTATCTCTTCGTTTACATTGATGCAGATTTGTTTAAATAATTAATACAATTTTATATACTTATAAATATGATCAACTAAATAATGTATTCATTGTTTTATTTCATAACTTCCCTTTAAATGTAGTAATGTAATTGAAATGTTCGTTGTTTATCTTTTTATATTCTTTGGGATCGGTAAACTCATTGATACATTCATTGTTTAGCCTGGTTTATATCTCAGTAGATGTGTTTAAATCATTGACTCATTCATTATTTTGCTTGTTATATATTGTAATAGATTTGTATAACTCAGTGACACGTCCATTATTTTCCTGATTTCTTTGTTGATAAGCGCAAAGCTGCATAATGGGCTATTTGTGCTGTGACCACTCCGAGTTTTAGCGTTATAAGCCTTCAGAGTTACAGCTGAGCCATTGGGGGCTGTTATATTCCTTTATTTATAATTGGTTGTTTTTGTTTGTTTGTTGTTAAGCGCAAAGCTACACAGTGGGCTCTCTTTTGCTCTGTTACCTTCCGGTATCGAAACCCGGTTTTTAGCGTTATTTGACTTCAGACTTACAGCTGAGCCACTGGGAAGCTGTTATATTTCTATAGTTATGAATGGTTGTCTGTTTGCTGTTAAGCCAAAGCTACGTAGTGGGCTATGTTTACTCCAGCCAACTGCGGTTATCGCAACCTGATTTTAGCGCTATAAGCCAGTAGACTTGCGTCTGAACTTTTACTATACTAAGATAATCAATCATCTATCTACGCTCTTTACACCAGAGGGAATCGAACCCCAGACTTTAGCGTTGTAAGTCCGCAAAGTTACCGCTGAAACACCGGGAGGCTTTATATTTAAGAAGTATCATTAAAAGTCTTAATTATATAGTTTTAATGGAATATCTAGACGTGTGGAAAACTAAGCAATTAGAAAACAAAACGTTGCTTTGAAGTACATTCTGTTGGGACAGCGGTAAGACTACAGACTTACAACGCTAAAAATCGAGATTCGATTTCCCGCAGTGGACACAGCAGATAGACCAATGTGGTTTTACTTTAAAAAACAAACTAACCTTCTTGTGCTAAAATACGAGACTCAGAAAGTACGCTTTAGCTGATTACGTTTGCTAAACTCAACACTTTAACCGTCAGCCAAAACTAACGCCAGCAAGCGACTAGTAACAGTAAACTTGTGCTTACATGAACGAACCAGTTTTAGGCGGGAAGAACTTTCCGCCGCTTCAATTTTCACGGCCCAGCATAGCCAGGTGGTTAAGGCACTCGATTCGCAATCTGAGGGTCGCGGGTTCGAATCCTTGTCACACCAAAAACATGCTCGC